TGTCACCCACTGCGGAGCCCTGAAATGGCTTTTTTGGCAGGCAGCGCAGGTGTGTGTGATTAGAAATGAGTCAGACGTCCTTGGTGGCAGCCTATATTTAAGGTAAAAGATGGGTTGTTGGCCCCAAGAGTGTGAATGAAATACATCTTTAACTGCAGCAGGCTCTGGGAGTAGATGTCCTCTGTGCCTGGCTTCCCAGCATCCGCCTTGGCCTCTCAGACATTGCAGATGGTTTCCCTGCACTGGCCAACCACCTGTGAGGCAAAGCAGCATAGAGTTCTCATTCAGCCTTGGGTTTGGCCTCTTTTAGGGACAGATTTTATGTTTCAGGCAAGGTCAGCCAATCACAGCCAGAAAATCAGCCTCAGATTTGGACAGATTGTTCTGTACTGATAAAACACAGGCAGAGAATAAATGGAAAAACTGATACTCTTATGTCCCAGAGTCTGAAATAACTGCTGTGGTATTCTGCTAAAAACAAAATAAACTGGCTCTTTCAGGATTCTCCCTCCGTACGGTATTTTTGTAAATTGGGTCAGGAGCAGGTGGAGCTTCTGCAAATTCAGAATGTATTCTGTTAGCTCTCAACAAGTACTACCACGCATATATTTTGTCATTATCTTATATTCGGTCAATTAATGAATTGTCATGCATTTTAATAGGTAATGTCAATTTGAAATGTCAAAAATACCACCATTATTTTTTCTGAAGCAGTTATGCTTTATCGTTGCTCATAATTGACACATTTGGACTATTTAAGTTATCACATTTGCAAAAAAAAAAAAAAAGTTTATTAAATAAATTGCCTTAATAGAAATTTATAATAATCAGCAAGAACGAGCCAAATACTGACAGATTTAAATACTAAAGCATAAGGCAGCAATTTTTTTTTATTTTTTTTTGCGTGAATTAAATATGTGTTAAAAACCTATTATGTCAATTGAGTCAGTCAAATATTACTTTGAAGGAAACATCCTTATGGAATTTTTTTTTTAAGATTAGACAAATTAAAATGTGTAGCTATGCTTTGTCAGGATGCCTCATTAAGATTTACAGCCAACGTTTTTTTTTTTTTTTTGTTCACTACAAACATTTTCTCCCAGCCTGCGGTAATCAGCAGCATCCACTGTGATTGCATTTTAATTAAAAGGTGCCATTTTAATCATCTCTAGCATGTCGTCGCACAAAGAGGATGTATCATTATCAGTGTCCCTGCCCATCACGTGCACTCACACATGCAAGCGCACCCGCACACACTCTCTGACTCACTCTGCACGACTTGGTGCGTCATTAGTTGAAAGTCGTAATTAATATTGAGAGCTGACAAGGCCTCCCAGAGAACCCATTGAATTATGCAGCAAAGTGATGAGGAGGTGATGTTGAATGGACTGACACTAATTGCAGAGCGCCGAGATGCACGGTCAAGAGGGACTGCCGGAGTCCTTCACCTCCAAGGGAGTGTTTCTCAGAAGTTTGGTCTTACGTTTTCAAGCAAAGTGTAAAAATCCAGGCAATTTAGAACCTATTAGATAACAATTATAGCTCCTGCTGGCACTAAATGTTTAATGTGGAGTCTAAAACTTGACAAAATTGACATGTTTTTCTTTACGTCAATGTGAAACGGTGTAATTATTTCCTTCAGTACGGTTCAAAACTCAAATATATTCAGTTTGTTCACTTTAAAACAGTATTTACAGCGAACACCTCAAATTTCAAAGCTTGTGTTTCATAATTTGCTTTAAAAAAGAGATTTCAGTTACCAGAACATCATATAGTGCTAATGTCAATGTGACTTGACTGACTTAACGGAGTAATCATGGGACTGTGTTAATGTTTATTCTTTGATTAGTTACTGGTATCAAAATGTCAAATAAGTGATTTTATGAGTAATAAATGACAGCTCTGTAAGGAAACATGTCAAACTAAAAAGCATATTGTTCCACTTTTTTGCTTTTAAGGTGGATAATTACAACTCTGCTGCACACTGCCATTTCAACAGTGATACAGCTTTAAAGAATGATTTGGTGGTGGATTAGGGGACATACTAAATTGTACCGCTCAAGGTGGCTGCATGTTGGAGTAGCTATTACTTTCATTCTGGGATATTGCTTTTGAAAACTTTATTTCCTTATTTTTCTGGATATAAATGCCTTTTTTTCAGATGATTACTTCCTCTGGTATCGGATGATGGGCAGCTGGAAGGATTTTTAGTGAAAACCATTTACTTTTGGACATATGTTATGACGCGTAACCATAACAACAAGGTGGGTTTTACAACTGGGAGCAGCTGATTAATGGGATTTACCTGTCTAAATAAAGGTTGAATAAAAAAATAAATCTCAAAGCTCAAATATTACCTCAAATACAGCTCTATATATCAAATGAGTTGTAAAGGAGGTGCCGTGGATGCATCTCCGTCTATCTGGCGGAGGCGCTTGAGTGACTGACTGCTGAGATCCTGGAGCTGGCAGGAAATGTGGCTCATGACAAGAAGACCAGGATCATCCCCTGACTCTAGCAGTTGCCTGTGATGAGGAGCTCAGCAAGCTGCTGAGAGGAGTGGCCATCGCTCAGGAGGAGTTCTGCCCAGCATTCAGGTGGTACTGCTGCCCAGGAGGACCGAGAGGCCCGCTGGGTCTGGGTGGACAGATCGGCATCTGCAGCCAGTTTCTTCAGATCCGCTGCAAGACCGATTGCTGCAGATCCTTCCAGCCCACATCCATCAGCATCTATAACAACTCTTAATGAAACCAGGATGATGAGCTACAACAACATTTTATTTCCCTTTAGGATTAATAAAGTTTTTTATATTGAATTGAATACAGTGGTAAAAGACCAGATTTATATACAAAGTAATTAAAAATAGCTGAAAAAATGCAGACTACAACAATGAGTTACCCTAAACAGGAACATTTCAGACTTTAAAATAACACGGAATAATTTAATTTAATTAATAATTTCAAAACACGGAAGCCTCAATTTTTGAAGACATTTTTTTTTGCATATTTACTGAAAATAATTGAACAAAAGCTGAGGCCAGTATAAGATGAGCACTACAATAACAGAAATTAAATACAAGATCAATAGTTACTTTACTGAGCTACTTATTTATTCGGTATTTGTTTTCAATTTTGGCTATTCTGGCATTCCTTAGCAGTCAACAGAACAAAGTTGTTCATACCAGTGTTTATGCTATTCTCTCCAAGTTTTTTTCCTAGACAGTAGGCCTTGCTTTGCAGAAAATAATACCACCACACAGCAAAGTGTCATACGAAGAAGTTGTGCAGGAAATACATTTTCTGAACAGATAAGTTTCAGCTTATCTGTTCTAATTTTAAGAACTTTAAACATTTATGCAGCATCTTCGACAATTGCACCTTCTCAGGTTTTGTTCAGATATCTGTTGAAGCAAAATTTGTTTGCAGACTCTGCTGCACTTCCTGTTTTACAAAGTGCCACTCGCACTGCACGTCACAGGTTACAAAAACTGAGAGGTGAACAATCGACTGCAACAACACCAAAGCATTTCATGCGACCGGGGTTATGATGCCAGTTTTGGTTGAGGTCAAGAATGGCGGGCATATGTTTGCGTGTGTGTTCATAAATGCAGTTGACTGTTTCTCAATACATAAACTAATTAAATCCAGTTTTCATTTGACACAAACTGTAGCAACTTTAAAGTTTTGAGAAAATGCACGTATTTGATTTGAAGTCCCTTACCTGTGTTCTTTTCTCTATCCTTTAAAGTGATAAATACAGTGTGTGTATGTGGAGCAGAGTAATATTCAGCAGCTTCTCCTCAGATCAGGACGCTCTGCTGTTTGTTCCAGAGAGCAGGGTGACCCTGCAGCACAGGGACCATGCCTCACTCTGCATCATTAAATAGCCATTTACCTGACATATCAAAGCTATTACCTCTAAAAGGCTTTTTTTTAACAGCACCTTCTGATTCTAAACAAAATATATTTTCACCGTGTCCCTATAATCACCTTTTTTTTAAATCCTCGCCCCACAGATGCACCCTTTAGGAGAATAAAAGAGCAGAATAATGACGTCAAATATGGGAAGGAGAAACTCAAGCAAACTTTGATGCGTGGAAACTTTCTCTTTTGTTCGCACTTGTCCTGATTGTCTGTCCTTTCTGTGTCAATCGATTACCAGGCTTTCTGTGCCTATCTCTTCTCATTATTAAAGAAGACTGACAGAGACCTCTCCTCCTACTCAGCTCGTTCTCCTTTCACGGTCACAAGCTGCTTGCTGCTGTCCGTCGAGGCCACTGGGCCATAAGAGCCCATTCAATTCCATCATGCTGCCTGATGAAGCACAGGGAAGAAATAACTAAGATAAAAGTCGCAAGCAAAACATCTGAGGCCTTGTTTGCATTTCCTTGATGCCTTGCCAATAGCTGGTTTGAGAGACTAATGGACTGTTACTCATTCAAGGCACGATCTGAATGCGCATTTGGAACTCAGAATTATTATCTGATCCCATTTCTGTTCCTTTTGTCCCCCTCCAGAAGTTTTAGACATGCACAGGATCAGTTGTGCTGATCACTAAGCTGAACAACGAGTCCTCTATTTGCTGCATCTCCCTTGAGTAAGATATGAAGGGAATAGCTTCTCATAATGCTCCCGCCATCTGTTCTTTTATTAGTCTGGAACACTGGTTCTTAGCCTGAGCATTAAAGTTCATTAATATTCATCCAACACTCATATATGGAAGCGTTGCCAGTGGAACTGGAGTATCAGTGTCGGAGATAGAAGAAGAGAAGCCGTTCTAATTGGTGATTGATGGCTCTGCCATTAGCCGCAAAGCTCTTTGTCAGAGTAAATGTACTACCAGGCTGTGCTTTTATGGAGCAGGGATGTACCTAGAATATGCAACATAAAGCTAAGCTAATTTGTAAGCACTTCGTAAGTTTTTAACACACAAGTTGGCATTACTTCGACATCTCGAGCTGTGTTTTAATTGGCTCTGCTTCCTGTTTCTCTGACCTTCAGGTTGTCTGTTTGAAGATGAGCTCTGTGCTCCACAAGAGTTCTGCGTCAACGGTGAGTATTACTCAAACACCCATATACCTGAGGTGACGTCAGTTTTAGGACAAATCCAAGCAGACGTTAGCTTGAAAGTTTTTAACACACATTGACTGTAACATTATCCCTGAAGGATGAACATTGTGCTAATTTTAGTCCTATAGAATACATTAAATGGTGAGCGAAGGGCTGTCTTGCATCGCACAATAGGTTTCAGCCCAGTTTAGACTTATGAGTCATATAAGGAAAAACTCTAAAATAGGAGCAAGTCTGGAACACTGAAACTACGCAGTAGCTGCATCATGGATTGACATCAGCAGGATGTTTTTCTTTCCTTCACATGGCAAGATTCCCCCAAACCAGACAGCATTGCAACCTCATTTAACTCGTCTTGTCACGAAGGATGGATGTGTCCGTCTCAGTGGTTTCCATGGTTGTGTCACCTGATGAATGAAAGGAAAATGTCAGGCTTTTACCGCTTGGCAATCAGCTGAATCGCACAGCGGACTGTAATATTGAAGGGACTTATTAACGTGCAAATATTGAAGATTACCTTCACGAGACAGCCATTACAAAAGGTTAATGTATTCTCCCATAGAACAGTGGAACGTTTCTACACAGCAGAACGGGTTCATGATGTAGAGATAGGATGCACATCTGCAACTTTGTTTTTGTCCTCACAGATATAATGATTGTTTCATGGCTTGCTACAGTACCCATGCTTAATCTAAAAATACTTTCTTCGAGCAAAACGAAGGAAGCAAAGGGAACACTTGTACCTGACAGGAAATGAGTCTGCTTGCAGAACATAATGTGACTTAATGCTGGAAACAAAAGAAATGACAGGAACTGAAAAAGACCAGACAAGTACAGCTTGTCTATAGGAGGATAACATTATATTTAAGCAATGAGAGATATGGGATAAAGTTAGAAGAAAACAAGCCATTTTTACACCTTGGTAAGGGGAAATAATACAACACATATGGAATTTCAAGGAATGAGAGTTAACTTTGAATTTAGCTTTGACTTAAAGATAGAAACACTCATTACTACTAATCAGAAAACACACAAACTAACGTTTTTCCCAAAATGTTCTACTATTTTATTGAGAGGATGAAGTGGGATATTTAAAGAGAGACAGTGGGCTGTGTTTGGATAAGTTACAGGGAAGTATTTGGAGACCTCCTCCTTTATTTCCATATTAACCCAGATTCAGAGGAACCATGGAAGGAGAAAGCAGCCCAGAAGAGAAACTGCTTTAATTACACATCCGGCGTTTGTTCAGAGGGGAGACTAATGGAGGAAAACTGCTGACAGCTTAACACTTAAATATCCACAGGCAGGCGTAGAGACAATAGAGCATCAGTCAAGGTTATGATGTCGGTGGTAATTGCTCTAAATTTCGGCTCTTTTTTTCCAATCTAATTGTCAAAAACAGGCTGTTCTTTCACTAAAAATACATACAGGATATAAAAGACTTATTTGGATTGAAGTAATTGGTTGCCTCAGAACCGACTGTGCCTACTCTGACTCTACACGTGTCACTCTGCTTCGGAAACGAGCGGCAGCCACAGCACAGACAGATGATGAGTGGGAGGAACTAGGTCTGCCACTTTCACTTTCTCCCAGGTCCCTGATGGAGTAACCTGGTTTATTCTGGGCTGGGCCAACCGTTTTCTTCTTCGCCCGTCTTGTTGCCATGCAGGGTGGTGGAAAACACAAAAGGGTTGCATGAGGAGGCTTTATATTGCAAGACATTTTAACACTTGGTAGCTTGAGTTTACATGCACCGGTATTGCATTTGTATTAAATATAATAATAATAAGTGATGTGTTGTCATCATTGTGTTTCCATACATTGGTGAAATTGGTTCTCTGCATTTAACCCATTGCACCTTGGATACACCCAAATGGGGCAGTGGGCAGCTACTGTATGTGAGCTACCTGGGTGGGAATGGCTGGGGATTGGACCTGAGACTTTCGGGTCCTGAGTCAGCTGCCCTACCTCTACCCCATCTTGGCCCCAGTCACTGTCCAGTGACTTGGGCCATTTTTATTGTCTGCAGACGAAAGACAAAGGTGGATGATGATGTGTTTCCATGTCTGTTTGTTACCACAATATCTCATGAACCACGAGATTCGTGGCTCAGTCAGTTTTACAGATATTGGCAGTAGCCGATACTCATTCACAACCATCACTATGAGCATGACATCTCACAATATCGCTAGAGATAACACACAGAAATGGGGAATAAAAATAATTCTGACAACTGTGATTTCACCCACAAAGGAGAAAATGTGCTTTAATAGCTTTTGCTTTGTGAAAGGGCACCTTGGGCACAGGGAAACTACAATTCTTTCACAGAGAGTGTTGGATAAATACTGTTGCAGCTAATTAACCCAGCAGGTCCGGGTCACTCTCATATCAGGACTAATAGATTAAAGAAAGAATCGTTTTCAAAATAATTTATTCTTAGTATTTACAGATGTTGCCATGTTGTTATTGTAATCATTCAGCCTCCTGTTTTCATGTCTCAGATCCAATGCAGGGTCTTCAGATCTTCAGGGAAAATGGTTTTCTAGAAGTTCGTCCAAAAGAATAAGTGATTACCTGAAAAGGCGTTTTAATTTGCAGCTCTCCGGAGTGTTTGGTTTACTGGTTTGATAAGCTAAGCTAAAGTGCAGCAGATAAGTGCTGCGTGTTTCCCTCGGGGCGTCGGTTGGCTCCTATTAAACACTTAACCAACAGTGTTGAATCGATCGGGGCTTACCGTGCCTCCTCTTGGACCAATATCTACTGAAATGTCTGCGCTGTATTTTACTTTTAAATGATTTAGGTGGCATGTTTATCGATCAGTAACAAGTGCAACTGCAGCATAAACACAAGAAAATGCATCTATGAAAAGGTCTGCGTTGCCAGAGAGAAAAGGGCTGAAGAGGCAAAAATCATAATGAATTAAAAACCTATCATCACCCAGCGCCTTTTATTCCCAAGTTTTAGACTGAAGATTGATGAATGACTGATGTCACGCTCAATGAATGTTTTGTGAAGGCCTCTGGCTAAATCTTAGCTGTAAGATGACTGAGTTAGAGCCTTGTTTGTGTTAGCTAATATAGATTAGCTATGGTGGCCCTTTTACTTGGATTCACTCCAAAATTTAACTAAAGAAATTGCATTTCATGTGAAAATGCAGTGTGAATGCTTCTTGCAGACCAACTTGCTGAAACACTTGCTAAACAGCTGAAATGAGCTAAAAAATAATGCTGAAATATAGCTGCAATGGAAGAACAAGCCCAAGTCAGCAGAATAAAGAAGAAAGAACACACATTTGCTAAAATAGGTTTAAATGAGTAGACATTAGTAAATTACAAAAAGAGCTGAAATTAGCAAAATGTAGCTGAAAAATAGCTGAATATAGCTGAAAAGGCATAAAGAAGCTTAAACTGCCAAAAGGAATCAAAAGAGCCCCCCAAAATTAGCAGAAAAAGATTAAATAAACATAAAAACAGCTAATAAGTAGCTGAAATAGCAGAAAAGGCTGAAAGTAGCAGAAATAAAGGAGCATAACAAGGCCAAAATAGCAGAGAAAAGTTAATTAGGCTGAAAGTAGTCAAAATTATCACGAAAAACTTGTATTTATCTGAAATCAGCTAAAAAATGCTAAAAATGTAGCTGAAACAGTAGAACAAGCTTAAATTATGTTTAATTATATTAAAAATGGTTATGATGCGTAACCATAGCAACAAGGGAGTTTTCTACAACCAACAGCAGCTGATTAACATCTCAAAAGCTCAAATAATATCTCAACTATAGCCTCAAATCTCAAATGAGTTGAAAGGATGTTCTGTGGACGCATTCTCATCTACCTGCCAGCTGTGCTCGAGTGTCTGACCACTGAGATCCTGGAACTAGCAGGAAACACAGCTCATGACAGAGGAAGGACAGGATCGTCCCTCGACACCTACAGTGGGATGTCCACAGCGATGAGGAGCTCGGCAGACTGCTGGGAGGAGTGGCCATCGCTCTGGGAGGAGTTCTGCCCAGCATTCAGGTGGTCCTACAGCCCGGGGGGACCGAGAGGCCAGCCGAGTCTGGGTAGACGGATCGGACGGCATCTGCAGCCAGTTTCTTAGGATCCACTGTGGGATGGACCTTTACAAGAGATCCTTCCTGTCTACAGCCATCAGTATCTATAACATCTCTTAATGAAATGAGGATAACGAGTTACAACAACAAATAATTTCCCTTTGGGATTAATAAAGTGTATTTGAATTTGAATTTGAATTGAATTAGCATAAGAAATCAGAAATAACATGTTTGCCCATTTAGGCTTAAAGAAAGCAGAAATGAGCACAAAAAAGTCAAAATTATCTGAAAAAGCAGACATTTGCAAAAAAAAAAAAACATCTGAAAAGTAGCTAAAAAACTCAGAAAGAAGCTTAAATTATCAGAAGAAAGTGGAGAGAGTACATTTTTGATGAGTTAGGCTGAAAAATGTTTAAATCAGTGCAAAAAATGTGAAATTAGCCAAAAAACGCTAAAATTGGCATAAAAACGGCTAAACAGTAGCTAAAATAGCAGAAAAGGCTGTAACTTTCATAAATAAGCTGAAAGGAGCATGATAAGCTGTAATTAGCTGAAAGAAGTTAGAAGAAGCCCAAAAAAGTTGTAGTTAGCAGAAATAATCTAAAAGGATCACAAAAAAGCTGGAACCCCCCCCCCCCCCCCCCCCCCCACCAAAAAAAACAAACTGAAATTAGCTGAAAGTAGCTGGAATTTTTTTTAAATTTGTACAAGGAAGCTGAAAGAAGCTGAACCAGAACAAAATGTGAAAGGAGCAGTAAAAGGTTGTAAACAGATCAAAAGATTTGAAGGATGCAAAATGAGCTCAATTCATTTTCTAGAAAAAAAGTGCCAGAAAAGGCTAAATATTTCAAAAAGCTAAAGTTGCACCAATACCAAAAGTCATAGCAGGATTGTCCTGAAAGAGCTAAACGTTTTAATTTAGTTTTTTTTTTAAAATAACATAAAAATTGTGGAATAGGAAAAAGGCCAAAAAACATAAGGAAGAAAAATGGATCTCAATAGTAAGCATTCACACTGTTAGTTGTAGATGTACATCTTAGTTACTTTTTGAAAGTTTATTTAACGTTTGTCAAGTGGTTTATGAGATAATTTGCTAACAGACAAAGACATGAACATACACAAAGACACGAGGCAAAAATCCTGGCTAAACACTTACTAGAATAAAAAAAAGAACAAATATTTTAATAAAAAGGAAATTATTAAAAGTATTTATACTTCAGAGCCACATTTTGCAAACAGCATGCTTTGATGTTGTTCTGAGAGCCTGGTTTATCTTTATTAATTCGTCTATTTACATGTGCATGCCACTCATGCATGAATATAATTATCATTTCAGAGACACAACTGTCGCAATAAAAGGCCAAAAGAAGTCGTAAACACTTCATTAGTCAGACCGTGATCACTTTAGCTTTTGTTCCTGCGCCGCTTTTCATTAGCGGACTACATCTGGCCCGTCTCAGTGCATTGATTTCAGCCCATTCATTTTCCTGACATGAACTGCACAGCTAATACACCTGTTCCGATACGTCTTCATTTGTCTCCCGCGTTTGCCTGCCTCTCCTCCGACGTACAGTGTTTAAGAAACGCTTTGCTGACTGTCAGCTTTGGCGTTTTGGCTCCTGTTATTCCCCAGCATTAGCTTTCACAGTTTAAGTAGCTTTACTGTTGCTCTTTATGTCTCAGTGGGAAGAGAGACAGCGTCTGGATTTAATGCTTTTCACCTTTTTTTAGCTGAAAATCTGCTTTATTCTTGTCAACGTGCAGTAAATTCACATGCAGCTTCTCTTTACTGAAGATGTTACTGACTAACTGGGTTGTGCAATGAAGGATTGATTGATTGTGGTTGTGGCTTGTTTTTTGAATTCTTGTTTGCATCGACTGAGGCTTATTATCTCCTGCTGCCAGAATTCAATTAAATTCAATTCAGTTTATTACATAGCACCAAGTCACAACAGAAGTCGTCTCAGGGCACTGAACAGAAATATTCTTATTTAAAAATAATAATTTAACATTATTTATCTGAGGAGCAGACTGCTTTGAATTTAACTCCACCACAGAACTCTCATCTTGAGCAAGCATGAAGGTGACAGTGGAAAGGAAAAACTCCCTCATGAGGAAGAAACCTTCAGCAGAACCAGACTCAGGACAAGTGGCCATCTGCTTGGACTGACTGGGTTTGAGAGGAACAGGAAGTAGGAACAGATACACAATGGCAGGTTGAGAATCACGTTAAGATAGAAATAGTATCAAATGAAAAATATTCAATTTTAACAACTCATTTAAGGAAATGAGGTCAATTTGTTCTCTAGTAGTCTAAGTCTGGTTCAAATGGACAAATATAACTGTGTATCATCAACATATCAATGATAATTTATCCCATGCTGTTTAATAACTTTAACTAATGGAAGCATAAATAAGGTAAAGAGCATTGGTCCAAGCACTGAACCCTGAGGAACTCCATAACTAACTTTGGTGTATGATGAAGATTCATTATTTACATTTACAAATGGGACTTTATCAGATAAATATGAATTAAGCCAATTTAGAGCCATTCATGTAATCCCAATATCATATTCAAGTCTCTGTAATAAAATATTGTGATCAGCTGTATCAAATGCCGCAAAGACAGTCGATAATGTGTACCTGTGTACCTGTCTGTTAGCAAAATAACAGACAAGATAATCTTGGTCTAAAACTCTGACATCAAAGCCAGTGGGTGATAAGCATTCCTTCAAGAAATGACAAGTATTGATTTTTAAGATTTTTAATTGCCCATATGCAATACATTTTTTGGACAATGGCTGACATATATTAAGCTCTGTTCAGCTGCTCTGCTTCTTCTCAAGTTATTTTCAGCTTTTGACAAGCCTCGATGGATGCAACACATGCTGCGCTCCTCCAGGCCTGAAATTAGAATGTTGTTTTTCGCTGTCTAAAATAGGAGGAGGAAGAAAGGCTCTATTTTTCCTCCAAGCTGTCACCTGAAACGAGTCTCATCTTGATCACTCCAGTAATTAGAGAAAACAAAAAGAGACGGAACAATTGTTTGTGATCAACGTCTCAATAAATCAGAAGTTACACTTGTAAGATTTCTTTGCGGTAAAATATCTTTTACTTCTATATTTGATGCACTTTATCCCTCCGCGACATGTCTGGTTGCTAACGGGAATGTCCCTGACAACGGAAATGAAAATTACCATCGCCATGGAGACCGTTGAGAGATTTGGAGCATCAAACATTTAGCAGTTTTCTGTCATTTGTTATGTCACCAGACACCCTTTTGTTTCTTACATAACGTTTTTTTGTAATTAAAGCATGTGAAATATATATTTTTTTTAAATGAGGCATTGTTTGTGTGCAACTATGTCGAGAAAAATGGAAATGTCAAGAAACAACTTCTTTAGGAAACAACAACTAATAAAGTTATCTGATCAGTCGCTGAGCTTTACACCAAACATGGCACAAAAATGAACAAGTTACTTTTTTCATGAATCATTTTTCATTTTCTCATGAACTAGTGGATGAAGTTTGTTTAACTCTCTAAAAGTAATGATTAGGTGCACATCTACAACTAACTTTAGGAGTTAACCTAATTAAAGATGGCTGCCACAACCTGCTTACTTTAGGAAACACAAAAATGCTCATTAAATCAGCACATTCTGTAGAAATTGAGTTAAGATCTGGTGTGGCAGTAGCTGTGCATCATCCCAACTCATACTCTGAGCATTTGTACACTTTACTATTTATTTGCTTAAAACATTTATATCATGGGTGTCCAAAGTGTGGCCCGGGGGCCATTTGTGGCCCTTTGAATGATATTGTGCGGCCCACATTTTGCAGTTTAAGGATGGTATAAGTTTGGCCTGTAGGCTTAATAGTGTAGACGTTTTGCAAATTTAATGATGTTTTTTTTAATATAATTGTTAGGTTTAACAGCAAAACGGATTTAAAAGTCTCAAAATGCGCAATATTAAGTTGAATACATATAAATCAATAAAAACAAATACATTAAAAAAAAAAATTAATAAAAGGTTAATGTTTATGAAGCTTTCCGTGTTTTGAATCTACAACAATTTAGAACACCTTCACCAAAATTAGTCAATTCTGTCCAGTCTCCAAAATATTGTTTATGTTAAGTTTAAAGAAATTACTAAAATATTTAGGCTTATTATTGCTATTATTATTTTTAATTCACATTTTTGTGGCTCGTGGCTCCTTTCATCTTCAAGGTTTTGGCCCACATATGAAAGTGTTTGGACACCCCTGGTTTACATTAACCGTTGGGGTTGACCCTGTTTGACTGTTAGCAAAATATGTCTTGAATCACCAGATAGTTTTTGAAACTCCCAGAATGTAATCACTTGCTGTTTATCTGCAGCTTGTCACAGCAATCCAAGATGATTGCTACAGCTAATTGATCAAAAATCGCTGTAACTTTTTTAGTTTTTGTCTTGAAGTAGCAAATATTGTCCCCAACATATAGCTCTACCATCTTGCAAGGTTTCCCAAAATCACAGGGGCCTGTACAAAAGACCATTTATGAGGTTTGACCAAAAAGGCTATACCTACCTGACTTTTTTTTAATTTTATGTAATAACGTTTTTGTTTAAAACCCTGGCTTGAAATGTGACAGGGCTTGAATATGGCATGCAGTTTATGCATTCAAATTCAAATTCAACAAAAACAAATCCATCCAGTGGGCCTGACCCAACCTTGTTAGATTCATCTACTGGGATTATTGAGCATACATCAGGACAATTTGTGTACAATTTATTGCAAATCTTCACTATATTGATTTTGTGGTGGCAATACATTGTGCTCCCTTGTTGATACTTGTTTTTTTTTAACCCTTTGTGTACAATTAGTATTAAAAAATGAGAAATGTTACAACAAATATTAAACACCAGTCTGCGTGTTATGTGTAAGCATCATCCTTGATGTCTGCTGTCACCATCTGATGTCTTGAGGCTAATTAATGGAAGGCTGTGGTGTATGACCAAGTGTTGATTCACATCATTAGTTCCCATCTAATCACAGCGGCATATTTTCCACATACTCTCATATGAAAACCTCACATATGCTCTGACTGCATCTGTCTCCAGAGAACCACCTTTAAACTAAACTTACATTTAGAGAGTTTCGTCAACAAGCTGCAGAAATTTATCTTTCCAGCTTAGAGAAAAGGTTGGCAGCTTGGTTCATTTATATTCAAGGCCTTACATTTGCACAGTGCTTTCTGACCCCCCTCCTCCTTGAGCATCTTTCAGAGGTCTAGACCAGCCATTGAATTATGGGCTGATAGTGAGTCTGTGGCATGAGTTGCCTGGCAACCCAGGCAGGAGGCCTGCTGATAGGGAGATTACCAAGGTCTCTGATAAAGTCCTTTCTGCTGTGATTGTCTGCTTATCGTAGAGCTGTCAGACAAAAAATATCAGCTATTAGCCCCCCCACCCAAAAGAAAGAAAAAAGGGAAAATCAGATGTACAAAACGCTGCAGGTGCCTCACATGATTACAACCTTTCATCCGAGCCTGAAGACACATTAGGCATCACCAGAGTTGCAAAAAGTGTGCTGAAAACGTTGCTTTGCTTGTCATAAACCTGTTCTCATCATGTCCTTTCCTTGTAGATGGAGTGTTCGGACAGTGCCAGGAGCTGGCTGGTGCAGACTTGTACACGTACGATATTTCTTCCTCTGCTCTGCAACGCCTCAGGATGATCCTACAGAAACTGGCTTATAGAGGTACAAACTGCCTTACAGCCGTTGATGGGAAGTTAGCCAAATAAGCTAAATTGTCTTTTTGGCTGGCACAGCACACCAACAGAGCTAAAACAGGTCATTTGACTCATATTAGACCATTGTTTTGCCATCATCTTCTAACTCCAGCAGCCGATTTTATTGGCTTGTGTGCTTGCTGGACATTTAGAGGTGATTTTGTGGATGACTAACTGTGAGGTGTGCAGTGTAATCACAACAGACAGTCTCTTCAGCCCAGTTGATGGGCAATAATGGGCTTGTTATAACAGGTCACAGCATCAGGCAGATATAATGTCTTTCTAATAATGTCTTTCTAACATTGGTATTATTGGTAACTATAAATCTTCATTAAACGTTACGTTAGAGAGAGCATTATTGTTTCTTGTTTGTGTGTAAACTCCTTTGTGCATTCTAGTGTGATTTACATAATGCCTAATTTGATATTCTTGTACTAAATCCTTTTTCCCCCTTTGCTTATGATTGGGAAATCCTGGTAGAAATGGCTGCATCTTTAAGCAATGTTTTGCAAAAAAAAGGGGTGCAACTAGTTGAAGTAAAAAGCAATTAAATATTGTTGAATTCTATGAAATGAATTCAACAATTTTTAGTCTAACTCCA